CATTATGGGATAGAATTCCACCTTGATTTATCTCTGAGTCAACCTGATTTAGCAATGGTTTACTTTTGTTTACATAATGTTTTATAGGAGTTAGGAGAGGAAGAACAAAACATTACAGGGTAAGTAATAAAAGTGCTTGTATTACCTAGTAAGATTTTACTGTAAGAAAGATTTGTGTTTAGTCTTTTATGCATTCTCTTTAGCTCTATGCCCAGTAACAGCAACGATTTTTATATTGTCATGTGAAAAAATTACATAAACTGATTTATTTTTTATTCTTACTGATATTTATAAGCATTTCATTAACAAGATTGTGCCTATGTTTGCTGGTGCTTAAATGAAGACCTGCTAAAATGTAATATAATACTTGCAAGCCATCCACTAGAAACAAAAATGATAGCCACATTGTGATTTTACCTTTTTAATTCTGAAAACTAAAGAGTTCATGCAGAAGTAAGGAGAAGTGGGGATTTCCAGAGTGAGGTGCACACTATCCATGTAAAAGAGTTTTCATATAAACCTATTATTCCTGTATATGTATAATGTGCTTTGGTTTTCCCCAGTAGAAAGAAAATTCATTGATTACTTTTTAAAAATTGGAAACATTTAACTTTAATAAATATTAAAGCATCTATTACTTAAAACATATTTTTACATTTAATTACATATAACCAAAATTTAATTGTACATGTGCTTATAAATGTGGGTTTTTAAAATCACAAATAACATTTAAACTAGTTTCTGAAAATCATGAGCAAACATCTTAGCTGTAATATGTGCATCCTTCAGTTAATATAGAGAAATAGGATTTGAGATAACTTACTTCCATATTTCTTGTAATAATCTCTTCAAAAAGTCCACGGAGAGATTTGTATTATATTTTCTTTTTTTTTAATAGTTATAATGAGGGCTGCCCGCGGCTCACTTGGTAGAGTGCGGTGCTGATAACACCAAGGCCACAGGTTTGGATCCTATATAGGGATGGCCGGTTTGCTCACTGGCTGAGCGTGGTGCTGACAACACCAAGCCAAGGGTTGAGATCCCCTTACTGGTCATCTTTAAAAAAAAAAAAAAAAATAGTTATAATGGCTAAGAAGTATTATCTTTTAATTCAATTTTTCCAGAACTTTTTGAACTACCCTCATATATATAGTAAAGATGACATCTTTAAGCCCACTTTAATTTTGTTACTAATAAATGGTATTCTACATAACTATTTATAAAATATTTGAGTTATTTGAGTGATAGCCTGTAAATATAGAAATAGTCTTTAAGAATAATTTTATTTTAAAAACTTTTTAAAAAGTAGTAGATTTAATGTGTTAACATGGCATTCTACTGTTCAAAAGTGCTTCCAAAAACAGCACACTCACCTCTGGGGCTTTCCAAGCAGAAGTTTTAAGTCCCCCAATCTTTTTTGAAAATAGAAGGGGGTAATGTTGGAAATGTGCCAGGACTAAGCTTTGGTATTTTTCATGAAGTGCCACAATGAAAGTACCTTCTCTCACAAGTCAGTTCCTTTTAGCAAACTAATAATCTCATCCAGCTTTCCTAGCCTCTTGCTTTTTCCAGAAACCCTGTCTCCACATTCAAGATAACAGGCCAGACAACTCAATATTATTCTGTCTGTACTTGTGACCATTCCTGTACTTACTTCATTTAGAGTTTTAACATCTATTTACCAAGTTTACATAACTGTCAGTCAAAAATGCAAAAGTAGTTTTTCCTCAATGTGAATGATTTAGAAACATCAAAAATAAAGTTAGTAGTTTCTTCTTTCCCGTCTGCAACTCACCTGATGTTAAAAATTTGATGCTTAGTGAGGCAGGACTTGCAGTCCAGATTCAGAAAGTCAGGATCTGAAACCCAGTTCTGCCATTTATTGGCAAGTTACCCTAGGCAAGTTATTAACCTTTCTGTGCCTTAGTTTCTTCATCTGTAAAATGGGAGAAACAATAGTATCCCTCACAAGGCTGTTGTGAGGATTAAGTGGATTTGTAAGTGTATCAGTGGTTGCTATTATTATTCTTTCCAGAAACTTTCTTTGCTTATATAAATAAAATCACATCTATGGTTGTTTACAAACATGGCACAAGATTGCTCTGTAACTTGCTCTTTTTACTTAATATATCATGGATATCTTTCTTAATTTATCATGGATGTCTACTTAATTTTCTTAAATAGCCATATTAATATTCTAAACTATGATGGGCCATAATACTCTATTAACAGACGTGGAATTGCTTTATCAAGGGATACTGCATTTTAATTTTTTTTAAATCAACTCTCAGACTACTTTCTGAAAAGCACAAAAGCAACTGGGCAGTGCACCATCAAGCACAGTAGGGAGTTAAAAAGGCAGGCAAGTAGTAGGACTACAATAGCACAAAGGTAAGGAGGAGGAAATGGAAAGTAGACTGTTTTAGGACTCACACATTACACACAGGCAGCAGAATTTTATCAGAAAGTAGATCGTGATAAGTTATAGACACATATTGTAAACTCAGAGCTGCCACTAAAAACATGAAAAAAGAAAGTATATAAAGTAAGCTAACAATGGAGAGAAAATGGAATCCTAAGAAATACTCAAATAATTCAAAAGGGAGGAAAAAGGGAACAATGATGGCGCAAATAGTAAACAAATAGCAAGAAGGTAGACCTAAACTTCCCCATATCTATAATCACATTAAATGTGAACTGTTTAAACACTCCAATTGAAAAGCAGAGATAGTCAAACTAGATAAAATGGAAAAAGCAAGACCCAATGATATGCTCTCACGATAAATAAAAACGATAGAATGAGATAAATCATGTAAACGTTATTCATAAGAAAGGTGAAGTGGCTATTAATATCTAAGTAGACTTCAGAATCTGAAATTTTTACCAGTGCTCAAAGAGGACATACAATAATGATAAAAGGGTCAATCCATCAAGAAGACATAATAATCCTAAAAGTTTATGCCTTTAACCGGAGCCTCAAGAATATGAAAAAGACTGACAGAACCGAAAGGAAACAATGACAAATCCACAGTTTGGAAATCTCTACAGATTTCCAACAATAACTGTGTTTTCTCCGAACAAGTAGACAAAAAATCAGTATGTTTATTTCAACCTATTTGGCTAACAGACATTCAGAAAACTTCAACAACAGCAAAAGGCAGGCATAGTTTTTCCCAAGTGCACATGGGATATTCACCAAGATACACCATGCGCCGGGCCGAGTAAGACAAGTAGATAGTTCTGGTACTCTAAAACAGAATGTATCATATTGACACGGGACAGGTATCTACATATGAACAGTTACCTACACAAAGGTGTATGTACGTATCCAACATCGACCCAGAATGAGAGGGAAATACAATCCTAAGCAAGTAATGACAAGCGACAAACACAATAGGATGCCGTGCCCCAGACATCTGGCTAGCTCCATATCAGAAAAGGACGACGTGGGGGTGGAGGCGAGGGTTCACCAGCGGCGTTCGGTGCCAGCCTGGAGAGCTCGCTAGGGCGGGGCGGAGAGGGCGTGGGGGCGGAGGCAGGTGTGGCGCTGCCAGCCGGACAAGGACCTGGAGGAGAGGCAGGAGGAAGTGGCCGCTGGTCAAAAAGCTTTGAAGGGAAGAACGGCGCCATGTAAAGGAGGATGTTTTGAAGGGTAGTGGACGGTATATTACGTCGATCCTTCGAACTGGAGTCAATGAAATCTCCAGTGAGGATCCTCTGGTTCATTCCCGGTGGCGGCGCATCCACCTTGGGAAGGCCGGGCCTCGGAGGGCTGAGCGCGTGGGGCCGGGGCCAGGCCGGCGGCTGCGGTCCTTCCCGGGTGGCGGGCCACAAGGCCTGCGGTGCCAGACGGCAGGGTCCTAGGGCGGGTCACCGGCTACCCTGTCCGCAGGGGGTGCCCGCGGGCGGCGTGCAACCCGCAGAGTCGAGGGAGGACGCTCGCGGGCGAACTCGCGCGCCCAGCGCCAGCGGACGGCCGGGGGGCGGGCCCA